TCTGTTACAAGTGTTGAGACTCCTTGTTAAATAACAAAACACTAAGTGAATGTGAACCACATGGGTCATGCTATATTTGTAGGAAAATTCTGCATTCAATTTTATTGAATTGTCAGCTGCTTTAATAATAATAAAAAAAGAACTTTGGTTAGAACTTTGTGATAAAGAAATTTATCATGAGTTCTCCTTTTCACAGAGATATTCTCGGTATATATGCTTCTTAAATGGTGACTTTTATGTTATTGTTGTGTTTTATTTTTAAAATTGATAGTTATCTTGGCTTTTTGGAGCCTACAGTTTCAACAAAAGACCTTGGTATGTCTGCTAGGTAGGTGCATTTCACAAAAGTTCTTGTGGCCTATGTTAAACTGATGGTCAGGGTTTGGTGACTGAGTTTTTTGTGGGAAAGCTTTCAGGCATCTTAGATATTCACAACTGTCTGTGTCTGAATACATTCATCATGCATTATTGCCAGTCATGGAGAAGAAAGGCCTGAGCAACCTGATCTGAATGCAGTTCTGAACCTGCTTTGAGCTTGGTTTGGATGACCTGCTGCCCTGAATTCTGGCCTAAATTATTATGTGATCTGAGAAATATAAACTTGTTGATAAGATCTACTGAAAATGCAGTGGCTTACATGTTCGTAACCCATGAGAAGTTTCTTTCTTTTCACAAGAATGTGACTGGAGAGCTTCTCCAGCATTTTAGGACATGGATGTCTTGAGAGCTATAGTGTTTTGGAAATGGGCTGGGCTTACTGTGTCTTTTCCAACCATAACTTTGTAATTTTGAGGTTGACTTCTTGTTGCCCAATTTTACAGTTACTTAATTCCAGTATCAGGCATATTTTAAGAGACCACATTTAGTCATAGTAAGACCGTGTGGATTGTTTTGTCTTCTTGTGTTATTTCTTAAATCCTTATGAAGATTGTCAGCACTTAATGTATTCTTTCCTGTTCTGGTACTACAAATAATGTTCCTAGTCTGTGAGGAAAAAAGTGATTACCTGTTTTGGAATAGATGAGTGATTATAAAATCCTGCTTCCGAAATTGTTGCAGTGCTGTCTGAAGTGTTAAATTAGTGCTGCTGTTTTCTAATACCAGAGCTGCATCCACCACCAGAATGTGGGGTGGAATTCAGCATTGTTACCAATTAAGAACAATTATAAGAAATTGTTCAAACATTTTTTAGAGCTGAATGCACATGTACTGATAGACTCATAGAATCATAGAATGGTTAGGGTTGGAAAGGACCTTAAGATCATTTAGTTCCAACCCCCCTGCCATGGGCAGGGACACCTCGCTCTAAACCATATCATCCAAGGCCTCATCCAACCTGGATTTGAACACTGCCAGGGATGGAGCATTCACAACCTCCCTGGGCAACCTGTTCCAGTGCCTCACCACCCTAACAGGAAAGAATTTCCTCCTTATATCCAATCTAAACTTCCCCTGTTTAAGTTTTAACCCATTACCCCTTGTCCTATCACTACAGTCCCTAATGAAGAGTCCATCCCCAGCATCCCTGTATGCCCCCTTCAGATACTGGAAGGCTGCTATGAGGTCTCCATGCAGCCTTCTCTTCTCCAGCCTGAACAGCCCCAACTTTCTCAGCCTGTCTTCATACAGGTGGTGCTCCAGTCCCCTCATCATTCTCGTGGCCCTCCTCTGGACTTGTTCCAACAGATCCATGTCCTTTTTATGTTGAGGACACCAGAACTGCACACAGTACTCCAAGTGAGGTCTCACGAGAGCAGAATAAAGGGGCAGAACCACCTCCTTCGACCTGCTGGTCACACTCCTTTTGAAGCAGCCCAGGATACGGTTGGCTTTCTGGGCTGTGAGCGCACACTGAAGCCGGCTCATGTTCATTTTCTCATCGACCAACACCCCCAAGTCCTTCTCCACAGGGGAGCTCTGAATCCCTTCTCTGCCCAGCCTGTAGCTGTGCCTGGGGTTGCCCCAACCCAGATATCAGACTTTGCACTTGTCATTGTTAAACTTCATGAGGTTGGCATCAGCCCACCTCACAAGCGTGTCAAGGTCCCTCTGGATGGCATTCCTTCCCTCCAGCATATCAACCGAACCACAGAGCTTGGTGTCATTGGCAAACTTGCTGAGGGCGCACTCAATCCCACTGTCCATGTCACCGACAAAGACATTGAACAAGACTGGTCCCAACAGCGATCCCTGAGGGACACCACTCATTACTGGTCTCCAGCAGGACACTGAACCATTGACCACAACTCCTTGTGTGCGGCCATCCAGCCAGTTCTTTATGCACCGAGTGGTCCACCTATCAAATTGATGTCTCTCCAATTTAGAGACAAGGATGTTGTGTGGGACAGTGTCGAAGGCTTTGCACAACTCCAGGTAGATGACAATAAATACTCTGCCCCTGTCCATCCGTTCTGTAGCCCCATCATAGAAGGCCACCAAATTGGTCAGGCAGGTTTTCCCCTTAGTGAATCCATGCTGGCTGTCACCAAGCACCTTGTTGTTTTTCATGTGCCTTTAGCATGCTTTCCAGGAGAATGTGCTCCAAGATTTTGCCAGGCACAGAGGTGAGACTGATCTGTAATTCCCTGGGTCATCCATTTTCCCTTTCTTGAAAATGGGGGTTATATTTCCCTTTATCCAGTCATAAGGAACGTCACCTGACTACCATGATTTTTCAAATATATCATTGTTGATTTTTCAAATATGTCATATTTTTTTTCTATGGTTCTATGATTTTTAACATGCCTTTCCAAAATTGCTTTAAGCCCTTTTGCAATCCACTGAACTTGTTCCAGTTTCTTTTTCAAAACGCAGTGCTGAATATGGAATATGCTTTCTCTGGCTGAGGCATAACCAGTTCTGAGATGATGGGAATAATGTCTTGCTTTTGGGGAAGAAAATCTGCTGTGGTCCTTTGAAGTAGCTTTGGGTAAAGTCAGTAGGAGCTGTTGATGTGATATGTAGTGTATATCTTAAATATCTTTTTGCCTTTTGAAAGGCTGCCTTTCTCCAACTGACTGCTCTGATGGATACTTCAGTGCTGAAATTTGCAGTAGGTATATAAATCACCTGTCTGTTATGAATGGTATTTAATAGTAGGGAGCACGAATATGTTGAGTTCTTGCTTGTTTGCACACTGCTGTCTGCAATGTTCTATCTACACAAATTCCATTGCTATTGGTTGTGTTTACATGTGTTGTTTTTTTTTTTTGAGTTGTATATTGAAGTTCTTAAGAAATAAAACAGCACAAAAGTGCTTGCAGTAAAAAGGTATTTAGTTCTTTTACTACATACGAATATTGGACAATAATTTATCCAGTTCTGTGTGCTTACATTGTGATAGTGGTAATTTAAACTAAAGTCATCAATAAGGACTTGGAAATTATTTTGTTAAATTTTGGAAGATGTGATTGAAGTGTTTCTTGGGGGTGATTTTCAGCAGTGGGTATCAGCTGAAGTGTCTCCTTCTGAGATTCTAATACTTGAATTTGGAGATTTCCTCCAAACCCTTTGAATTCTTTCTCTGAGTATGTGCTTTCACAGTAATAAAAGTTTCTCTAGCCTAAAGTCTATTTTAACTGAAGTAAGTTAACTTTATGAACATTTTCACATTCTATAAAGCTTAAAGTTTTTTTTTGGATCATCCTTCACTCATATATCAGAAAGATATTTTTCTTTTTAAACACAATATAATACCTTTGTTTAAACGGCCATGTACATCTTGAATTACTTTCATTAGCTGAGTAACTTATCCTGCATTTTTGTAAAAGGAACTGCAGTTTAACTATAAATATATGAAAATGCCACAGAATTCAGGGCTACAACTCAAAAATGCTGATCAGTTTGTAAAATCTAAATCAGTCCCTCCATGAAGCCTGGGGAAGGACCTCTGTGGTAGCAGAAAATTTCCAGAAATTCACCACAGTCTTTTTCTAAGTTGCAGTTTGTGCTGATGTTGCTAGGCAGCTGAGAGATGGGAAAAGCAGGAAATCTATTCTGATTTAATCGCAGTGCTGATTTGCAAAAACAGTTTAACAATGGAAAATATTTTTATATTTTAAATCATAAAGACAGAACTATGAAGTACATGGTAGATTGCGACTGCATTAAATTGGATTATTTTCATTACTAATGAAGTCTTCATTTTGGAATCTGATGGTCAGAAATCCTACTTCCTTGACTACTTTGTCTGTTTGCTTTTATTTTGCCTGTTTGGTTTTTTATTTGTTTTGTTTCCTTGTTTGTTTCATACTTGAGGGCAATAAATACAGCTTTTAAAGTACAGTCCTGCTGGTTTCCTGTCTTGGAAAGCTATTTCTACTTTTTTTCTTTCAAAAGATTTTTGAAAAATACTGGCGGGCAGTGCTTATCTTTTCCCTTGAAGTTATTAAAATTCTATCATAAAACACCCAATGTTTTCAATTATGTTGATAAATAAAAATTGTTTTTTAAAAGACATCTTGTAGTCCTAGCCCTTGCATCTTCCGTGTGAAAAAGTTTTTATTTCGGTCCCTTGATCTTTTGAAGAACTTGTAAATTAGGAAGACTTCAGGTAACCTGTGAAGAGGAGTACTTGGATGAAAGACTGAATATTCATTTCCAAATGAGTAGGTGATGAGGTTATGAAGAGCACGTAGATGAGCCAAATAGCAGTTGTATTCAAGCAAAAGGTCTCTACTCACCTATCCTTTAACTGAAGAACAAATATATGAGTCATTTTGTCATTTGACTTCTAGTTGATCATAATGTCAGCACATTCCCCTTATGAGAGGAATGCAGTTCCTCAATGAAATATAGCCATATTCCTGCAGTGTAGAGCATTTTATTACTTCATACTTTTATGATGTGACAACAATGACTTCTTTTATGTTGCTTTGCCTTTGCCTTTTAAAGCTAACACCATACCTTTGGTTTTGCAGGTTTTGTTGGTATTTTATGAGTAAATAGGATATAACAATTTAATGGTTTTTGGTATTGTTTTGTTTTTTTTTTTTATCAAGATTTCTGCTATATTCTGATACCAGTTGAAAAATGGATGACGATGACTTTGGAGGATTTGAGGTATGCTATTTGGATGACTTAATTTTTAAATATAACTATTTTCAACTATTTTTAAAGGTATTTATAGCATGTTATAAAATATGTACTTTTCATGTGTGCTTCTAGGCAGCAGAGAGTTACGAATTTGGAAATGGTGAAAAGCAGACTACTTCCCCTGCTATTGCTTGGGCAGCATTCCCTACAGGTATTGATAAAAATCACTGTGAAAAACTCTTAATAATGTATTGCTGTCTTTCTGTACTCACTGTAAATATTAGTATTCAGAAGGGTGAAAGAATAATGAAACAATGAAAGAACAGGAAGTGATGAAAACCTAGCGTAATAATGTTCCTGAGTAATTATTTTGGGAAGCTGCACAGAGTTAAACTTTCTTGAGGAATGAAAGACAAGTACATTTTACCCAGTTCAAAGGCTGATTGGCATCTCATGGGAAGAAGAAACAGCTTCGTCACTCAAACGATGTTCCTACTTTTGAGTATGGAAGGTCTGTTGCAAATGAACGGAAAACGTACAAAAAGTAAACTTAAAAGTAGGGCTTGAACATGTTTCTTCTTCCATTATGTTTCTTTGATTGTGCTGAAGTCTTTTAGTTGCTTGGGGGGGGGGGGGGGCATTTCTTTTTATTTAAGTTTTTAAAGTTAAAAAATATACATCCTTTATCTCACGCGGAAGCTGAAACATTATGGAGCTATTTTTTTTAATTTATAGAAGTGCCCAGTGCATGTCTGAATTTTAAGAAATTAATAAAAGGTCATTAATAGTAGATAAATGTACAGTATCAGCAGCACTAAAAGATTGAGGAGGTGTTACTTGATTGCCAGTTGATCTTTGTTCTGAGAATTTAGTCTCAGTTTCACTACTTTTGCAGAAAAAAACATCACTTTAGTAGCATTGAATAAAAAAATCCTACACATTTTATTCTTTAGTCAGGAGCTAAAGATTTCTAACTCTTACTATATAATTATGCGGAACAAATTAAGAAAAATAATTATAATTTTAAAAATAAGACAGGGGTTTGTGTAAATATGAAATCCCCATAAATCAGAATCTTGAAATGGTTTGTTTATTTCTGGTGCTACTGGCTTTCATCCATTCCAGAATAGTTTTATTTGTTGCTAAAGTAAAAGAAAACTAATAAAAATCAAATAAGATTTGCAAAAGGTAGCAGTATCAATGACTGCATTCTCCAACCTAGCTGATTCTATGATTCTATGAAAATAAGGAAACTGTAAGTTCCCAAATAACTTTATTATTCATTTTGTTGTTTTGACTGTTGTTACTCAAAAATCCGTAAATTCATTATCATATTTGAATGTGTTTAAATTAAATCCAATATAGCTGTGTGGTGCCCGTCTCATGAAGTCTAACTTATATCTAGCGAGGCATGCACAATTTAAATTATTTGGAAGTAACGTGGAAGCTTTTCATATGATTTGTGAGTGACACAGAAGTCTTAGGATAAGTTGTGCCAAGGTATTTAAAAGAAAACCCCTTGCATTCAGAACATCTTATTAATATAAAACCGTTTACGTGATTTTTCCATTCAAATGTTGCTGTGAATAATTTAACTTATTGCAAGGGGCAAGATATCAATAGCATCAATCAAAATGCTTGTTAGGCATTGACTTGTAAGTTAATGTTTGTCTGCCCAGTGTTATTTATGTTTATATATAAGTTGTTCTTCTCTTAACCTAGCAATTTTTCAGTCAGTAAAGTTTGCTGAAAAATGTAAGAAACTCAAATGTATTATGGTGCTATCAAGTGTGATACCATTATGTATACCCAAGATTCAGTGAACTTTATGGAGCCATAAATTTTCTGCATCCTTGATATTTGAAAGATGAAAAGAGTTACAAAGCAACACTGTAACCTGTTGCACTATTTCTCAGCATGAAGGAAAAAATCAGGTATTATTTCTAGAGCCCCAGTGTTGATTACAATGAGGAATTTTTGCCGTTTAATTTTGTCTTGAGCTTCTTGCTATCTATTTGAAAGTTGATTTCACTTTTTCAATAAGCTTAAAGTATGATAGAATGTTTATCGGTATGTGCAAATAGTTTTTTTTCTGTGCATTTTTCTGTGCACTCCAAATCAAAAAATGTTTTTCAATTGTGGTTGGTGCTTCAGAAGGCGAGAAAAATAAGAATTTATACAGCAGAAATATACTGTTCTTTCCCCTTCCACTAGGACAACTACCAGAAAGCGTGCACCTCTTTCCATTATGTTTATCTAGCAATGTCACCTAATAGAAAAAGTTTATACTGGTTTTATTCTAAATGATAAAAGGGAGAAAAAAAATCTGTTTACTTTTTAGTCTTTCATGGTTTCAAGTTTTATTTTGAACCCATTATATCAAATGCTGTATAAACATTGAAACAGAGAGTAGGGCTGGTCCAAAGACATCAGCTCTGTGAGACAGTATGCATTATGAGTACGGAGGAATGAGGAAGTAGTGAAAGAAAAATAACACACGCGTGTAGTGGGGTTACTTAGATGTCTTTGCTACTACTGTTAGCAAAGTCCGAAGAACCAGCTGTTATTTTGGGTCTATTCCTTCTGATTATCTGAGATAGAAATGAGCAATCCTTCTTACCTAGTGTCATTATATATGTGATGGATATCCTTTTTTCTATCCAGCCTTAATATGAAGTGCTAAGAAGAATCACTATTGTACACCCATCATCTGGACTTTGGAGAGATGTGAGGGAACTACTCAGACATCACTGTTTTCTTGGCTTGTGTTTGTAAAGTTGAAAAAGAGAAGAGCCAACCAACAAAACACTCTGAGAATAAAAAGCTGATCTTTGGAAAGATGAGATCTGTCTATGAACAGTGACAGAGTATGAAGCCTTATGTTTAATCCTCAGATTTAAACATCGTTCAGTACTAACACAAAAATAAGTTTTTAAGAACTCTAAAATAAATTATGGAATATTCTAGTGTCTTATCACTGGTCCTTCTGGATAGCAGAAGTTAAGAGGTTGTATTAATTATTATGGGCGATGTCAGTTCTCATTTCAATAAGCATGCACTGGAGTATTGAAGTGCCTGTTTTATTTTTAATTTGCATGGCTTGAAAGGTGCTGTTTCCAGCTGTTTTATTGAAATAGTTGTTTTCAATTCTTTTCATAATTTATTTTTTTTCTCTGCAGAATACTAGCATCTTAATTTGGGAGGGGTAATGGAGGGGTGGAAAATAGTAGGAAACTAAGATATCCCTAAGGAGATTGGAGGAAACTCGTTTCATTCTTTGCCATGATTGGACAGGTTCAGAGGTCTTTGTTGAGAATGAAATACAGCCTCATTTAACTCTGGAAAGGTCATTTTCTTTTGCTAACATTTGCTATACTTGGGGTATGCGGCTTTAAAAATGAGTCGGATAACTTTTCAGATTTGACGATCGGAATAGTTAAAAGATGTCTTGTCGCATGTTTATTAGAATACATATCACCTCCCTCTCTCTCTTCCTTATAGCTGCCAAACTGCTTTAAAAGACAGTTATATTGCCTGAATATTTTGGCAGTTTTATGGAAACCCATGTCTTAAGAAAAACAATGCAGGACTGATGAGAATGAGTTCTTACTTTTCTTATGTTGTGTAGTCGCTGAATACTGAAAGATTTGTGTTTGAGGTTCAACTAGATGGTTGCAGTGTTGTAAACTTTTGGTAGCTGTGTACAAGTTCTACTTTAAGAAGAAGTTAGGAAATAAAATTAGTATTTCCATATGGCCTTTCATTTAACTTGCTGCAATAGCGTATGTAATTACTTATTTTCTGGAGTAGTTTGGCTTTGGAAGACTAAAATATGGGGAAGAGCTTTCTGCTGTGAACTACAACAAATCGTCTTGAAAGTACATTAAAGTGCTTTTTCTTTCCTGTCTATATGTTGATGTAAACTGGTGTGTGTAAAGAAGCAGCCAAGTGTTTCCTGTTGGTAGGAGGACATTCAAGCTTGTTGAAGTCAACAGAGAAATTATTATCACCTTATGTAGACATGTACTTGCTGATTCTAATGCCATAACAGATGTGGAAATGTGCTTCATTCTGGTAAATCAGTGATCTGCAAATACAGTGATTGAAAGTGTTGGTTTTGAAAAGGAAAAGAAAGGGAAAATTGCTAAGGAAACTACTAAAGCTCCTACAGCTTTGCAGAATACTATGCATGCCATCCAAGACACAACATTTATTATTGGCATATTGGGTGTCAATTGATATCTATTAATGTATCCCTCTACTCATTCTTCAAGCAGTTTAACCCTTTCTAGTAGTTCTCCATTTACATTGAGCTAAAAGCAGTGTAAGTACTGAAAATACTTTGTTGATTTGGGATTATATTTATCAGTTGATGCTTTTTGTTTCATAGGAAAAGAAGAATTTTTAACAGATTCTGCTGCTCTTCCTTCATAAATTGTTTTTCACTGTTTTTAATGATTAATTTTAATGAGTGTTACAGACGTCTTTTGGAATGCATGTGACATATTCTGTTTTGTGCTAGTTTGCTGTGTATTGGCAAAATAAATGGGTTGACATTTGTAAACCTGGTAATTTTCAGTTTATTTTTCCCTAAGCTGTTTATTAAGTGTTATGCAGGCTGTAGATCCCTGTGTTCTAGCTCTGACATTACAGCTGACAGAAATTCCTGCCTTGTAGAATACAGTTTTCTGTCTCTTACAGTTGTGCTTGAGCAGCTGTGTGGCCCTGGGGTTTAAGCAGATCAGTGAAATTTGGATACACAAACCCAGTCTATATGAATGTTAGTTTTAACTGAAAATGTTCAGTGGTACAATTTACAGTGTGTACAGTATAATTTAAAGGCTCATTGAATTCTATCATCAAAGACATGGGTAGTTGAGGATGGAAATACAGTCTTTGTCTCCTGTGGTTTTTTATTTTTAACAGCTGAAACCTGCCTGTGGGAGAAGTGTACTACAAGTAGTTTACAACATTCTACAAAAGTATGTGAAAGAATTATTATATGGTCTGTTGCTCATGGCTCTGGTGGCAAACCATCTGTTAATTGCTGGATATAAATAACGTCCAATTAGTAAATGTTACTCATGTTTATTTGTTCAGTGATAGATTTCATATCTAATGTCTTCAGTCTGAAGCTCAGTATGAAGTATGGAATGTGATCTAATAGTTCATGTTCATCTGTATTTTGTTTTCAGAATTTGATTCCCTAGGATTTTAATAATTGTTTGAGCTTCATTAGTAAGATAGAGATACAGATTTTTTTCTTGTGTGAGCAAGATTGCAGGCTGTTACTGATCTCTTCTATTAGTTCGGTCAGCTCTTACATACAAACCTATTACAGAATATTCTTAATAATAGGAAATCAATAGTGTATGACTGTGTATCATAGCAGGTGGTGCAGCAGTTGGAGAAGGTTTATAAGTGGTGCTGAGAAGCCAATATTCATACTACATGTGTTTCAGGAGTTTTATTTCAGACTAGTGTTATCTTGGTGCTGTGGACTTGAATGTCCATTAGTTGTTGGATTCCAGTCAGACATTTTTATCAGAGGCAAGTTTTCATTTTGGGAGTTCTGAAACTGTTCCATTATGATAACTAAGGCATGGCAAGCAGGAAATTATGGAGGGGTCATCTTCAAAACCAAATTTTGAGTTGAACTAAAATGCTAATGCAATTTCACCAGTATATACACAAGAGGAATGAATTAAGTGAGCTTGAATTACAGACATAGAATTACATGTAATTCTAGGAATGTCTAATTTATGAATCCTGAACACTGCTGGAAGTGAAAAGATTTTGCGAAAAAGATGTTTGAATGATACCTTGGAGAGTTGCCGCCTTTTCTTGTCTTCTGCAAGATCATGTATTTAGCTGAATAATTTTAAACCATGGTATTCAGAGGTGGTCACCAATTGTTGCTCTTCATTTCCCAGACTTTATTTTGCCAACTTCAGAGGTGGGTTTTTTGTTTCTGCTTTTTGTTCCCCCTCAAAATGTGAAGCATTCGTTACAATAACTGGAATCACTGAAAGCTTGATTCCACATAAAACTGTATTATCTGAAAAATAAAGTCTTATATCTAGTGTGGATGTCACTGAATATATGAATACCTTAAGTTTTAAGGAGTCTCCATTCCTCATCTGTATCCAGACTCAGTTTCTAGTTTTACTTCTGTGATAAATTGTTTAAATGTGAACTATGATATGGTCATCATCACCAAAGGGTGAATGCCAACCCCACAAAGATCAGTGTCATGCTAGTTTTGTCACTGTGAGTTGGTGGGTTTAGGAAAAGAAACAACTTGTCTGGTCAATCAGAATTGCCTGATGCATTATTTTAGTTGGTTTTCCACCTGTTGGAAATTGATTTCAAACTAAAATTCAGGATATTAAATGATAGCATAGAACAGAGACATAACTGGTGTTTTTAGAAGCAAAAAGGTCATCCTCTCTGTCATCTCACTGCTATTTGAACTATCAGAGTAGGTAATGGTTAGAGCAAGCTGGTTTGACAGGAGCACAGCCTAAAAAGGCCAATTTCCAATCCTGGAGAAGAGTTTGCTGTTAAAGATACAGTTGTGTCACCATCCTTTGTTTTGTCCTGGTTACCTAAAGTGGTTCCTGTTCTGTTTGCTGAAATACTGTCCTATAGGGTTTTCATCCAAGTATCCAGAATATGCTCAACTGTCTTTTTTCCTCACCTGTTTTCTCCATGTTCAAATCTACTATTGCTTCAATTACCATACTGTCTTGTGGTCTGCTTCCTTTCTTCTTTTTCTTAGATGAGGTTTGTGTGTTCCTCTCTGTTAATTTGAATCCCAGAACTGGGAGATAAAGAAGATAGGACTCGGAGCATCTGGATTCAAGGATTAGTGTGTCCTTTCGAATGCTTTTAGGTCAAACATACACACTTGTTTGCACTGCGTTATGCATACTTCTGCAGTATTAAAGAGATATTGAGAGGCTCAGCCTTGCTTCAGGCTAGTGGCATCTCTTATGTTTTACCTATTTGTAACAATAATGTAAACTGTTTTTTCTAAAGCAAATGGACATACCTTTTTGTCTACTGCAAGGACAATACCAGTAGCTATATGAAAGGTTGCAGAACTTTGCTATTAAATTAAAAATGTAGAATATTAGAATCACAAAATAGTTATAGTAGGAAAGGACCTTAAGATCATCAAGTTCCAACCCCCCTGCCATGGGCAGGGACACCTCACACTAAATCATCTCACCCAAGGCTCTGTCCAACCTGCCAGGGATGGAGCATTCACATATTACTTGGGCAACCCATTCCAATGCCCACCACCTTGACTGTAAAGAAATTCTTCCTTATACCCAATCTAAACTTCCCCTGTTTAAGTTTGAACCACTTACCCCTTGTCCTATCACTACAGTCCCTAATGAAGAGTCCCTCCCCAGCATCCTTGTAGGCCTTCTACAGATACTGGAAGGCTGCTATGAGGTCTCCACGCAGCCTTCTCTTCTCCAGCCTGAACAGCCCCAACTTTCTCAGCCTGTCTTCATATGGGAGGTGCTCCAGTCCCCTGATCATTCTCTTGGCCCTCCTCTGGACTTGTGCCAACAATTCCATGTCCTTTTTATGATGAGGACACCAGAATATTGCACACAATATTGCAAGTGAGGTCTCATGAGAGCAGAGTAGAGGATCACCTCCTTCAACCTGCTGGTCATGCTTGTTTTGATGCAGCCCAGGATACAGTTGGCTTTCTGGGCTGTGAGCGCACACTGCCAACTCATGTTCATTTTCTCATCGACCAACACCCCCAAGTCCTCCACAGGGCTGCTCTGAATCTCTTCTCTCCCCAACCTGCAGCTGTGCCTGGGATTGCTCCAACCCAGGTGTAGGACCTTGCACTTGTCATGGTTAAACTTCATGAGGTTGGCATCAGCCCACCTCATAAGCGTGTCAAGGTCCCTCTGGATGGCATTCCTTCCCTCCAGCGTATCAACAGAACCACACAGCTTGGTGTCATCGGCAAACTTGCTGAGGGCGCACTCAATCCCACTGTCCATGTCACTGACAAAGATGTTGAACAAGACCGGTCCCAACAGCGATCCCTGAGGGACACCACTCGTAACTGGTCTCCAGCTGGACATTGAGCCATTGACCACAACTCGTTGTGTGCAGCCATTCAGCCAGTTCTTTATCCACCGTGTTGTCCATTCATCAAATTGATGTCTCTCCAATTTAGAGACAAGGATGTTGTGTGGGACAGTGTCAAAAGCTTTGCACAAGTCCAGGTGGATGACATCAACTGTTCTGCCCATGTCCATCAGTTCTGTAGCCCCATCATACAAGGCCACCAAATTGGTCAGGCAGGACTTCCCTTTAGTGAATCCATGCTGGCTGTCACCAAGCACCTTGTTGTTTTTCATGTGCCTTAGCATGCTTTCCAGGAGAATCTGCCCCAAGATTTTTCCAGGCACAGAGGTGAGACTGACTGATCTGTAATTCCCCGGGTCATCCATTTTCCTCTTCTTGAAAATGGGGGTTATATCTCCCTTTTTCCAGTCATCGGGAGCTTCACCTGACTGCCATGATATTTCAAATATGATGGACAGTGGCTGAGCGACTTAATTTGCCAGCTCCTGCCGATTCAGGTTCTTAAGATGGTCTTGAACCAGGTTCTCTCCTACAGTGGACCCAAGGTCATCATTCTCACAGTCCCTGCATCTGCCTTCCAAGACTTGGGTGGTGCAGTCAGAGCACTTGTCAGTGAAGAATGAGGCAAAGAAGTCATTAAGAACCTCAGCCTTCTCCAAGTCTAGGGTATCCAGTTCTCCTGATATCTTCTGGAGAGGGCCAACCTTGTCTCTAGTCTGTCTTTTGTTTGCTATGTACCTATAGATTCCCTTCCTGTTATCTTTAATATCCCTAGCCAAGTTTAATTCTAACTGGGCCTTAACTTTCCTAACTTTGTCCCTAGCTTCCCGGACAAGATCCCTGTATTCTTCCCAGGCCACCTGTCCTTGCTTCCACGTCCCTCTGAATTTCCTCAGCGTCTTCTTACCCATCCAAGGAGGTCTCCTTGCCCTCCTGCTGCACTTCCTTGTAGTTGGGACTCAACACTCCTGAGCTTGCAGCAGGTGATCCTTGAATATCAACCAAGAGTCTTGGGCCCCCCTGCCCTCTAGTGTTTATTGCATGAAACCTTACCAAGCAGGTTCCTGAAGAGGCCAAAATGTGGGCAAAGCTTTCTCTTCTCTGTTCTTTTTATTTATTTTATGTCTGAAACTTTTATAAAAGTGCTCAAGTTTCTTTTGTGCTGAGTTGGTAATAATGATCCACTATTCAGGATTTTTATGGCATAACTGGAAATTGCTGTGGAAGAGCTCTCACTTCAGTATTAATTACACTTTTCTTAGCTAGAAAGTTATTTACTTTATCTTTTGAGCTCTTATAAAAGATAAACCTGCTTTTATCATGTGTCTTGGTAAGCTGTTTGTGTCTTCAAAGGCAGTTGAGGTTTTTTTACCTTTAAAATTTCAAACCTTAGGAAATTTTAAGTACCTTTTTACAGTTGACCTAAACTGATCAAAGATCGTGCCGAAGCTGAAAGGGTATGTGAAAGCAAAAAAGACAAAAGTTAATATTGATGCTTTTGATGGCAGTTGTCTTGTGAAATCTCTGTGTAAGTTACAAGTCTGAATTTAGTGTGACTGTACAGTTTTAAATGTCTTTAAGTTGATGGTACTAAAAAATACATGAACTGTGCAAGTAGATTGTAAGAGATACATAACCTTATATTGATACGACTATACTTCTTGCTAGTGTGATGGATTTTGGTAGGTATAGGTTTCAGAACCAGCAGTATTTTTTTAATGTTTTCTTTGTATTGTGTTCTGTGTTCTGTTTTTTTTTCTTGCATTAGTATCTGAAGTCCATATATCTCCTGATGTTCTCCTGGAGCACTCGGTGCCGTCTTCCTGCCTGGTTCCTACTGAGTCATTCAGTTTATCAAGTGATAATGTGACAAAAGCTATTAAAACAGCCACCAGTGTTAAAAACCCTGCTGTTCCTGAAGAACAGGTAAAACCACAATTTTTGTGTTTCAGTAGGGGAACAGTATGTATTAAATATCTTAGCATTGTATCTTTTCTGTCCAAGAGTTGCCCTTTAAGAACATAAGGTCTTTGGTGTCTTGTAGTACAGACTTTGAAGTAAAATAATTTTAGATTATGTTTAAATCCTATAACTGCAAGGCACCATAGTACTTCGGTATAGACTGCAAGAGGATCTGTGTTAGTTACTAAAAGTTAAAGGCATGCCGATACTGCTAGGCATGAAATTAGGAAACGATAGCAGGAAGGGTCTCTAAAAAGACTACGTTATTGGTAAAGCTGTAATGATTATGGCTGTACATATATGTCATACTTTCTCAAGCGGTTTTAGGTCTAAAGTAGTAACTTTTAATATTAAATTAATTTTATTTGTATGACTATTTTACTTCTCCTTCTCCCCCATTACATGTAAAGGTTTTTTTTTGTGATCTGACAGAGTCCTAGTTAGGTGATCTTGATCTCTCTTAATGGATGCAATACTGCTAAGAACTGATCTTCTTTGGTAGGGGTGAAAGTGTGGGTTTTTTTAACTAAACAGATGAGCAAGGGAGGGAAAATATTTTCTGTGTGGAGATTAGCACACAAAAGGTAGATTTCCATGGATGAGAATTAAATAGATTTACCCTTCCAAGTGAATTTTTATTGCCACTGATTGCAGTGACACCTATTTAAACAAGTTTATTGATTGTAAAATTCCTTGTTTCGGAATGCATAGTAGCATATACTTGAGTTAGAAAGTGCTCTTGTCTTTCTCTGAACCCATCAATATTTTTAGCAGTTTGCAACCCTCTCATTTTCAGCACTTACTTGGTTTCTTATTCTTCACAATTAAGTCAGATTTCTGTAGTCTGACCATTTACAAGCATTTATCTAGTGCTATTTAAAAAACTTGTACAAATACTTCTTTTGATTGAACTGACTTACTGGTTTTCTTTTGAGCAATATCTGTGCGTTTGCGCCTTCAGAAAGATTGTGGTTAGTAAAGCTCCAGTAGTTCAGTCTTAGTAATGAATTAGTAACTGGTTTGTATCTGTTCCCAGCCTAATGTTGTGGGGAAAGCTTATAAAAAGTGAAGAGAGCATGTGCCCAAATGCAAATGATACCAGAGGAAATTTCTTAGAAATCTGAAAGTTGGGTTGTTTTTCTCTTGAGAGAGAGGGAGTGTTTGTTTTCTTTCTTGACTGATGCCAGCCAGGGTCATTTTCTGTGTTGAAAGCTCTCTTCATCTGCCTCTCTGACAATGTTTTGATAAGTAAATTTCTGTTACTGGCAGAATGATCAAAATATGCTTTTCTTCAGCAACAACAGATCCTATCCTTGTTTTTGGCTAACGGTGAAATATGAATAACCTGTACACTTTCTTGTTTGAGCTAGGCCAGCTACTTTAGCTTGCGTGTTCTCTGGAAAGAGCACTTTGGATATTCCAGAATACTGAGGCCTAGGTGTATTTTTTTTTAAGCTAAAAATAATTTGGTTAGGTAATCTTACTAAAAATAAGAAATACATTTTGTTACTTCTAAATAAGTATATGTGCAAATTCTAATTGTAGGCTGTGTTTCAATTTTTCTCATCCTGTTCTGGTCAGCTACTGACAGACCCATAGTTCTATGAACTTTCTTCTTAATGAAGGAGGTAAAGGGAGTTGAGATGAGGTCCTTCAACATTGTTTTAAAATGGAGATCACACTTTCCACTTTTGGATAAAACGAAAGGAAAACAGTGGATGTAAAATTCAAACATTTAAACCTGTTACAGGAGGATGTGAGAGCTGTGTTCTATAATTTTATCTCCAGAGCCTCTTGAGTTTTCCTGTTCACCACCATTCTCCAAATCTCAAATGCTTTTGGTTTTCAAATTGATGTTAAAAAAAGTGTTTATTTTTGTGCTTTGCAGAAGATACAGGGTTATTACTGATGTTTCATCTCTTTAGGGTTGTGTATTCTAGAGGCCTCCATTTCAGTTTTTGTACTCTACAGTTCGCTGAAATAGCATTAAATAAATGTTGTAGCTATGTCCCAGTTATTCTTATTCTGTTGGTCTAGCTTCAAGATGAGATTTATTTTAGTGCAAAAAGTTTCTATTCCCTTTCTATGACTACTATTTGTAGTCTGCACTGGGTGAAAACATGGAGTGACTAATCCAAGGAGAGTTTATTTCCACGTAAGCATGATGCTTTGAAACAGATGATTCAATTTCACTTCTGTCTCTTTTCACCTCTTTTGAGTATTTTGGACTCATTGGAAAGTGAGATATCTGTGCCATCCTCCTTCTTAAAGCCTTCTCCTGAAGTCTGATTAAAATGCAATTGAGGATATTGAAAGTATTGATGTGAATCCGTCTAGAATTACTAGCTACTGTTCCATTGCTGGAGCTTTCTTTTTGGCCACCATATCCTACATGAAAAAGTGTGTGCAGCCAATTTTAGAACAGTGTGGTTTTAAAAAAGTAATCCTAGTATTTGCAGCTTTTAAGTTCTGTAATGTCATCTGGGAATGAAATTTGACTTGGCTGGAATGTTAAATTTCCTTTATAATTTCCTTTACATTTTTTTTTCTTTTTCTTGTGTGAATTAGATTCAAGCAGATATTCCAGTTGTGTCTTTGAATGTAATCGAAGACAACACTTCAGTTACATCAGCCACTGCTTTAGTTGATGCGGAGACACAGAGAACAGATGAACCAAAGAGCTCCCTTCATCAAGCTCTTGCAAACCTAAAAATCAAGCTTTACACTGCTGAAGAAGAAAAACTAAAAATCAAAAAGGTATGAATACTTTCTTAATAAAAAGTGTTTAGCATTTATATAGGATTTAAATATATATGTAGATGGGAAAGATTCATGTTTTGTAGAAATTATCCCAATTCCAGAGAAATCATCCAAATTTAGCTAAAATACTCTCCCCTCCCCCTCCTCCTCCAATATCTGGTGTCTATTTTAGGCTGAAATTTTCTAAAGTTTCAAGTTCTCCTTTAGAAACTTTTTCGGGGGGGGGGGGGGGGGGGGGAAAGAAAGAAAGAAAAGAAAAAAAAAAGATATATTTTTATCATGTAGACACGTGGTTAGGAGGTATAGTGATTACCTATGTTTCGGAAGTATATGGTTACTGAAGCTCATAATGTCTTTTCCTATCCTTATGAATATAACATAGAACACTTTTTTAATTCTTTTTTCTTTCCTGGGAGCTCTGGTAAAGAAATTCTACATATTCCTTCTGACATTAATATGATAAGAGTACTAGAAAAGGCTATGCCTGTATTTATGCGTCCAAAGATCACTGAGGCATTGGAAAGTAAGTTTAATCTCTGCTGTTCTTAATAATGCTTCTTGATAGCTATCAAGGTGTGCTAGGAAATAAAAATGAGGATGAGTAACAAGTCAATGATGAGGAGGTCTGGAATGAATTGATTTTATTAGGAATTAACTGTATAGAGAAGATCTGGAAGGGAAGCATGAAGGGACTGTAAGAGGACTAGAATTAGAGTCAAACTTGGCAAGAGATGTTAAAGATAACAGGAAGGGATTCTGTAGGCACGTAGTGAGTAAAAGACAGAATAGGGACACTGTGGGCCCTCTCCAGAAGGTATCAGGAGAACTGGATACCCTGGACGTGGAGAAGGCTGAGGTTCTTAATGACTTCTTTGCCTCAGTCTTCACTGACAAGTGCTCTGACCGCACCACCGAAGTCTTGGAAAGCAGATGCAGGGACTGTGAGAATGACGACCTTGGGTCCACTGTAGGAGAGGATCTGGTTCGAGACCATCTTAAGAACCTGAATCTGCAGGAGCTGGCAAATTAAGTCGCTCAGCCACTGTCCATCATATTTGAAATATCATGGTAGTCAGGTGAAGCTCCTGATGACTGGAAAAAGGGAGATATAACCCCCATTTTCAAGAAGGGGAAAATGGATGACCCGGGGAATTACAGATCAGTCAGTCTCACTTCTGTGCCTGGAAAAATTAGGGCAGATTCTCCTGGAAAGCATGCTAAGGCACATGAAAAACAACCAGGTGCTTGGTGACAGCCAGCATGGCTTCTCTAAAGGGAAGTCCTGCCTGACCAATTTGGTGGCCTTGTATGATGGGGCTACAGAACTGATGGACATGGGCAGAACAGTTGATGTCATCTACCTGGACTTGTGCAAAGCTTTCGACACTTTCCCACACAACATCCTTGTCTCTAAATTCGGGAGACATCAATTTGATGGATGGACCACTCGGTGGATAAAGAACTGGCTGAATGGCTGCACACAACGAGTTGTGGTCAATGGCTCAATGTCCAGCTGGAGATCAGTTACGAGTGGTGTCCCTCAGGGATCAAGTGTTGGGACCGGTCTTGTTCAACATCTTTGTCAGTGACATGGACAGTGGGATTGAGTGCGCCCTCAGCAAGTTTGCCGATGACACCAAGCTGTGTGGTTCAGTTGATACGCTGGAGGGAAGGAATGCCATCTAGAGGGACCTTGACACGCTTGTGAGGTGGGCTGATGCCAACCTCATGAAGTTTAACCATGACAAGTGCAAAGTCCTACACCTGGGTTGGAGCAACCCCAGGCACAGCTGCAGGTTGGGCAAAGAAGAAATTCAGAGCTCCCCTGTGGAGAAGTACTTGGGGGTGTTGGTTGATGAGAAAATGAACATGAGCCAGCAGTGTGCACTTGCAGCCCAGAAAGCCAACCGTATCCTGGGCTGAATCAAAAGAAGTGTGACCAACTGGTCGAAGGAGGTGATCCTGCCCCTTTATTCTGCTCTCATGAGACCTCACTTGGAGTACTGTGTACAATTCTGGTGTCCTCAACATAAAAAGGACATGGAATTGTTGGCACAAGTCCAGAGGAGGGCCACGAGGATGATCAGGGGACTGGAGCATCTCCCATATGAAGATAGGCTGAGAAAGTTGGGGCTGTTCAGGCTGGACAAGAGAAGGCTGAATGGAGACCTCATAGCAGCCTTCCAGTATCTGAGGAAGGCCTACAAGGATGCTGGGGAGGGACTCTTCATTAGGGACTGTAGTGATAGGACAAGGGGTAATGGGTTCAAACGTAAACAGGGGAAGTTTAGATTGGATATAAGGAGGAAATTCTTTCCTGTTAGGGTGGTGAGGCACTGGAACGGGTTGCCCAAGGAAGCTGTGAATGCTCCATCCCTGCTGGTGTACAAGGCCAGGTTGGACAGAGCCTTGGGTGAGATGATTTAGTGTGAGGTGTCCCTGCCCATGGCAAGGGAGTTGGAACTTGATGATCTCAAGGTCCTTTCCAACTGTAACTATTCTATGATTCTGTGATTCTGTAGGACATAAATTGAGAGCTAGGCTCTGAATTGAAATGTTGCACCATTTCTGTTTCTGCAGTAGAATCAAAGACTTTGAATCTCTAGAACTGGTTTTAATGTTTTTTCCAGAAGGAAGATAATTAAGTAGATGTGCTGTTTCTGTCCACCTTATGATCATCTCAGTTGTTACTTTGTTTGAATAGCTTTACAGTAATCTGGCCAGTCATTTGTTTCTATGTTGGCTTCCTGCTTGGCTGCAGAAATAGTTGGTTTTGAGCAACTTAAAGGGTGCTAACAGCTTATGTATAGTAGGTAAGAGAACAGCTGCATTGAGTTAAAAAAAAAAATCTTCAGCAGTTTGTATAGCAATTTTGAAGTTTGTTGTCAGCGTTGTTCTCCTTTCTCTCTATTGGTTCATGGTGGGCAGGCTTCTAGACTGGCTCTCTGCAAGATCACAGAGTATTTTTTAAATTGTTATCATTTGGAGATATAGGTAGAGATCATTAGGGCTGTATGTAATGGTATTTCTGTTGTTCCAGTGAACTGTTTGCTAACAGTACATTTAATATGCTGTTCTTCAAATGCAGAAAGACAGAACAAGCGATTAAAAATATTGAAGTAATTAGAACAGAGTAGTTCCAGCTGGAAGGGACTTACAATTATCTGATCCAACTGAGCACTTTAGTGCTGACCAAAAGTTAAAGCATGGCATTAAGCATGGCACCCAAATGCTTCTTAAACACTGACAGGCTTGGGGCATCGACCACCCCTCTAGGAAGCGTGTTCCTGTTTTTGACCACCCTCTCAGTAAAGAAATGCTTCCTAATGTCATGTCTGAACTTCCCCTGTCACAGCTTTGAACCATGTCCATGTGTCCTGGCACTGGATCCCTGGGAGAAGAGACCAGCATCTCCCTCTGCACTTCGCCTCCTCAGGAAACTGCAGAGAATGATGAGGCCAGCCCTCAATCTCTTTTTCTCCACACTAGAAAAACCCAGTGATCTTAGCTGCTTCTTATAGAATGTGCCTTTGATTTTGTGTACTTTGTACTTCTTGAAAATATTGCCTCCATTTAAAACCTGCAGAGTTTTCTTCCACAACCCCTTTATCTCTGTGTATATTATGATAACAAATACTATAGTTGTCAGAAATGAAATTAGTTGGAATGATCAACTGATACTCACAATTCACGTGTTTGTAACTTCACATTTTATTTTGTAAACTTTACAGGAATTAGAACACTTATTGGAAAAACACAGTATTCTAGAAATGGATTTCTTGAAGGAAAAAAAAGAAAAAGTAATTTCACATCAAGATCACTACAATATGCTCCAGGTAATTTATTTCTTGTAGTATATTATTTTTTTTCAGGAGTGTTTTTTATAGAGTATACTTATATGTGACAAATACTCTTAAGTATCTACACATCTGCTCCGAAGACTTTTCTATTTAAAAAAATTTCTAAGGTCTTTAGATTAGAGGCTGACTTTTGACATTAGCAGGAACATAGGTTTAACAGCCTGCTTGTAAGTACATTATTGTAACTCAAATCACTCATCTTTATTATGACCTATTTTGCATAACAGATGAAAAAAACACTGCACAGGAGACGTGTGTTTAACAGTGTGACAGAGCATGTTCTGTTTCTATGTTATATACAGCTAAAACTAGGCAGATATTAGTAAAATAGTATCTGAATCAAAGATGGAATAGTTTGTATTGCATAATAAAAATTGTCTAACTAGATGTTAGACAATGGAATTAAAACTGCTTCCATTACAAACCCCAATGTTCATTGAATACGTACGTGAAATCCCACATGCAAGACAGATTTTTCACTGAAGTTCTCTGTCTTCATCCAGTGTTATAGCAGGACAAACTAAATATTATAGACTAACAATGTTTCAGAAGTTTCTTGCTGGTAATTCACCTTCACTTAATTTTGTTGCAGCAGTGGATGGTTGGGGTTTTCTATGTAGCTACTCATTGTTTCCCATTTGTACTTAAGGGTTGCTATGATAATTTGCATTGAATTCCTGCCTGCTGTACTTCCTAACATTTATGATTATCTTTTTTTTTTTTCTTATGTGGGTAACATCCTACTCAGTGAAAGAAGTGTTTGCTTAGCTATGTTATAAAAATAAGTTTTGCTTAAAAACCTTCTGATTCATGGAATATCATACTGGCTAAAGTTAATGATCATCATAAACTCTTGACAATAGATTTGATGTATATTATTTTTTACCACTTTCACAATGCTCTTCAAGTGGAAGTATTTAAGTAGTGGATATGTTACTGAGGCTTGCAAGGATCAGTCTGCCTGAATCATACCTCTTTGAGTCCGGTACTGCAGTTTTCAGGAATGGCAATGAAAGGGTAGTAACCTTGAACTAACTTTGTAGAAAAGCTCATGTACTTCCTCTTGTTGTCTTCTGGATAAAACCAGAATCAAGTCAGAGAAGAAAGTGAGTTACCATTCACTTTATTCTGTAATCTGAGTAATCAGAGAGAAAGTGAGTCTTCTGAGAGCTGACAGTCAAAATTACTTTCATGAAATTTGAATATTGGATACCTTTTATTAGTACTGTTTTTCTGCGATTCCTAAGGCTTTCAAAAAGGAATGTTAAATAATGTGACTTAATGTGTTGATGCCTGATTTAATGTGTATGGATCCTTTTGATTTCTTTTTTTACTCTTTTAGTATTTAACATTGTGTCCTAACTGCTGCCCCCACCTCCATGTAGTTTCTTGCTTTCAGAATACAATTAAGTCTCTTAATATTTCATAATATACTTTAAGAGCTTGTATTTTAGATTCAATGTCATAGTTATCTTGATATTAATTAAATAAATGGCTGAATAAGTAAATACTAGCTCTAGTTGTTACAAGCTGAACTTCCTATAATTAGAAATCTTGGAGAAGAGTTGGCATTACAGTTTTGCAATTGTAAGAACAAGAAGCAAACTAACTAATTTTGTCTTGACGATGACAAAATTCAGTTTTGCAATGATGACAGAAATTGTTCTGGAAGTAAGTAAGGATGTTAGTTACTGAGAAGGGTAAAGCAGCTTTGGAGAGCTGTGGTTCTGAGGACTGAAAGTTCAATAGTGTTCCAAGAAGGGGAATAGTACAGCACTTAAAAGTGAATAGAAGGTACTAATACAGACTAAGGAGTGGAAATAATCATAGGTATCACCCTTCCCCACTATTCCCAATGTGATTTTGTCTAAGGGCTCGTACTTCTTGTAAGGGATCTTGTTCTATAACGGTGATACCATATGGCACTGATCTGGACACAGAATGGGTGGTGTGCATAAGCACAGCTGGTTATGAGTAAGGGGTAACTCTTCTGGTTTAAGCCTTTTCTAAGGCACCTCTTCCTTCCTAGTTCCCTACATCATTGGATTTTTGCCCCCTCCTTTTCTCTATTTCCCCACTGACCTTGCTTACCTAACGGATAAACTCAGCCCTTCTGTGACTTCCATCTGTCTTCACCTCTTCCTTTCTTACAGTGCTCACAACTGGGGAATATAATTTTGCCTGTAATATGAATACTTCCTAGCGTTGAGAACACACTGGGATCTCTAACTTCCCCAGCTTCTGTTTTGTTGGTACAGGAACACTGTCCATTTCTAGCCAGCACCAGACCTACAATGTGTGATCCATCAGCTGTCCATATTGTGAGAAGTCCCAGTGGTTGAAACCTGAGGACACGAGAAAAATCTGAAATGCACATCTTCCTTGGACAATAGGCCTGTTCATGTTGACAGTAGGGAGGTGTCAAAGTTTGCATACTTGGAATGAGCACAGATGATCCTAGAGAGAAAGCTTCCTGTTTTGGAAGACCCCTATATTGTGCTTTTAATATACATAAGCAACGGCTTTGTATAAACATTCATTTTCAAAAGTAATTTCAAGAAGCAGTCTTGCAGTTAAATGTCTAGCAAGACAAGCTCTTGGAAGCACTTGCAGTTAAAGTGACAGGGTGAAATGGTCATGTTTCCTAATACTAGTTAGCCATATGGTTACTAAATTTTGTATCCTGTATTGGTAGATATAACTTTATCTGGAAGAAATGTTCCTGTGTGTTAGTAATTCAGTAAATACAGCATACCCCATGTAAGCAGCTATGTCTTTAGCCTGTTTTGATAAAAAGCCCAATTTTTCTATTGGAGGGGGCAGATCTTGGGGGAAAAAACGATAGTGGTGGAATAACATCCAAGAATTTGTCTTTTGCCATTGTACTGAACCTTAAATAAAGTACAATATGAATAATCTTTCTTTTTTCAAACTGTAGTTCACCTTTGAAATTAATTTTGTATCATTTTGGCTGCAAAGGTTATCTCCATTCCAGAGAAGCTGATGAAACAAGGGCTGACAGATTTATTTGTAACTGCAAGTTAAGTATACCTTAATGTGTTTATTACCACAAATCTGTGAACTTGGTAAGTGAAAGGAAGGAATAATTTATGCTTTTCTGAGATACTTCTCCCCCAGCATCTCTATATAAAATAAGGAAAAAATTACTGTTTTCCTTTACTGAAACTTCATAGTGTGCAAGAATGCTTATAGCAAAAACCCCCACAACCCTATAGCTGTAGCTTGTTTTATGCTACAATTTCAATTAGTTTTTACATAATTTCACCTTAAGTTCAGACTGTGGAAGGAGGGTTGAAAGCCTGGACTCAAACATAGGTTGAGACAGATTTTTCTCTTCTTAAGCTGGCCTTGGAGATACAGGGATGACTGACATATCTGGATTGTGTAAACAGCAAAAATGCACCCTAACCGCATCCCTACACACTTGGAGAGCAGCTCTGTGATCCTCCTGGGTCACCTACTTTGGCTTCCACCTCCTGTACACTATTGCCAGAGTTTAGTGAGGAGCTTTTTGTTCATCCATGCAGGATTCCTGCTGCATTTGTTTGATTTCCTGCTTATCAGTCTTGAGCTTGGCAGTGTTAATCCTTGAATAGCAGTCAGCTTTCTTGGATCCCTCTTTCTAGGGATCGCCTATGAGATTCTTCCAAGCAGACTCCCAAAGAGACTGGAGTCTCCTCATCGAGTCCAGCATTGTGATCCTGCTTTTTGTTCCAGTCCTTCCCTGTCCTGAGCCCCACCATCTTATGATCAATGCAGCCAAGGCAGAATGCCACTGATCTTCACATTCCCAGGCAGCTCTTTCATGTTTTTAAGTATCAGGTCCAACAGAGTGCCCCAGAGATCGCTCCTGCATGTGCTAAGACATTGTTGTTAATGTGCCCCAGGAATCTCCTGGATTGTTGTATTGTTCCTCAAAAAAATACTGGGGGGGAGAGCACCCATCATGAGCACAAGGGCCTGCCAATGTGAGGCTTCTTCCTGTTGTCTGAAGGTGGCCTCATCTACATCACCTTCCTGTAGACCATCTGGCCTACAGTCGGCATATGCAGCAATGTCCGCTGTGCTGGTCTGCCTCCTAATCCTGACCTATAGCTTCTTTACTGACAACCTACCCCAAAGCAGAGCTCCATGCATTCCAAATCCTCTCTCACATAAATTGCAACACCTTTTCATTGCCTTCCTGGCCTTTCCTTCCAGATGAGTGCATTTATGATTCTGGAAAAGATGTGGTACAAAAGATTGGAAACGGGTCTTGGAGGGAGGTGCTTTTCGTGGCTGCAGTACTAGAACATGTATGTTTTCTTGCAAAACTAATATATGACTTACATCCTGTTAAATACCATCTTCTAAGAAAATATTTAGGTTGGTTTTAGGTGCAGACATAGAGGAGACAGAATGCTAATAACAAAAAATAGGTGTGAAAAAAAGTTACCTGCAACTAAATTTAAAAATGGATTTCCAGAAAACTTCTCAGGTCAGGATTTAAAATTATGGAACACTGAAAATAGGGGATTTCAGGAAAGGCGCTTTCACAGATAGCAATGCATCTTTTTGCTGAATTAAAGGTATTTATGGATGTGTCAACAACCCCTTGCCCACCTCTTTTTCAAGTGTGTGCCAGATACATCACGTTTATTTCTTCACCTTTTAATATTTTTTTAATGTTACTCTATGTATTCTTCTTTCAGATGCTCCTTCTTATTCAGGTCTCTATTTTATTGATAATTTCACAGCTGTTTATCTTTTTGCCTATTTTTCCCCCAGTTTTGATGTCATCTTTTCTCTAAATTATTTTTCCACACTATGAGGAAAAATAACTTTTTTTTTTTTTCCCCTAAGGAAAAAAGAAAAAGAAGGAAAAGATTGTGGTCCTTTGCATTTATGTTTTCTTCCTAAAATCTTTTTTAATGAATTTATTGTCTTGTTTCAGAATGATTGATTAGAAGATTAAG